TGACCCTTCTATGGTTATGATGTTCTAGACTCTTTTATCTCGATGGCTTGCTGTAGCCTCGGTGACTGAATTTTCTTCTCGAGGACCTATGTCTTGGCTATATCTAGGGAACGTGTATCTGCCTAACTAATGCTTGGAACATCTGATGTGCATTGTGCGAGCTTTGTACAAAAGTGCCGAGGTGGTTGTTGGGTAAAGTTTAGTGTTTGTGAACAGTGTTGACTTCGTACAAAGGCAGGTAGCCCAACTACGGACTACCTATGTTATAAATATCTTTAGTACTTGGCTTGGATATGATAAGAGGTAGAAGAAATAAAAGGTGGAGAACCCTTTGGGTCTGTGCTTTTTTTGTTACTATATGGGTATTTGGTTGGAAATAAATAGAATAATTTTTGAGGATAAGAACAAGGAGGTTGAAAGTCTTTGGGAGCGGATTTATTTTTTAGCTTCTTTTTAGACATCCATGATGAAAGAGTTTAAGGATGCCCCTCTTTTTTGCATTATATCGAGCTGGACAACTTTGTACGGATAGATAGTTGTTTTTTGGATTTTTGATTTTGATGTTTTCTGATTAGGTTTATTTGCTTTTTTTGTCTTTGGTTTGGATTTCTTGTCCACCCATGACATGCCTTTTGTATTTATTTATTTTCTTTTATATAACTATTTTTCTTGTTTCCTAAAAAAAAAAAAAAAAATAGAGAGAACATGTCTACACTTCTGAGATAGAGATATGAGGGACGTAGCGCAAGCATTGCCACCCACGTCTGGAGAATTCTTTTGCCCAAAGATTGGTCCGTTCATCAATAGGCCGCTCGAGTTCTCTGATCCCAAGTTCCCAACCAACTTTCCCGTTTATCTCTTTGTGATATTTGTACAGGTCGCGTGTGTCAACTCTAGTTTAACTCCCCACCTACAATATATATATATATATATATCATTTTCCATCAAATTTAGAGTTAAAAATCCATTAGTATTAAGAGATCAACTATCATGTTTTAATTCAAGAGTTCCACTATTTTACATAACTCTATTTATAAATATATCTCAATTCTAGAGATCAATTGAATTTTATCACAATTCCAAAAATTAATTGATCATAAACATTAGGGGTTCAATAGTCAATAATTTACACAATCTCAATTTCAAGACCCTCTACATTGTAACCCTAATTTTTGCTAAATATCATAAAGCCCTAATTTCTTAACCGTAATTTTGATCAAATCATTTGCATGTAGATACTATATTTATTTGTATTTAATTTTGACTTCCATCTCTTTAGAAATACAATAAATATAACTTCCTTATTCATAATGCTACTTAATAAGTTCTAAAAAATTGAAAAAAATTCTAAATTGTGTCTTTTGTGTGTTACTTCCGTGTTGGTTGCATGTCCCATGTTTGTTGGTTGTTTGTTTACATTTTTAGCAAAAACATATAGATAAAAAAATTTGGACCCTCGTTTTATTGAGTTCGACACCTGTTCGAGCATGTTCATATCCTAGTCATGTTTGATACCAACACTCTGACCAAAATAAGGTGGTTGAGCTTCTTAGAGAAAGATATCATGGTTCTAGGTATCGGCCGAGTCGTATCCGACTTGGCCACTGCTGTTACGATAATGGTACGCTAGTCGAAGAAATCTCAAAATGAACTAACATCGACGATATCTCGTGCGTCTCGGCCGAAATCAAAGGACTCGGTCACACCTCGGTTGATTTGGCCGATTTCCATCCGAGTCATACCGATTTGGATGTGAATTGTTCGACCACACTAGGAAAACAGAGTGTGCCAAAAAAAAAGACAAAAGGGAAGAAGTAGCAGAATTTTATCCCAATTATTTTGAGCCCTAAATCATAACTTTTTGCCATTATGTAAACAGATCGAGTAAAGAGAAAATTAGCAACACATACCCGTAAATCCTCTAAAGAATCACCTTTCTCAGTTTTCAATCTTACAGAGCTACTTCTGCTTTGCAGCAAATACCCATCGCTGAAACCCTATATCACAGACAGCGGAGCATCTCGATCACAGGCAGCAAAGCTTCGAGATCCATGTGATATTTTCGAGCTCGAGCTCTTGATCGCAGGATCATCTCGATCTCTCGATCATAAGCTTCGAGCTCTCGGTCGATCGCACATCGCAAGAGTAGAATTGATCGCCCCCTTTTCTCTCTCTCTCTCTCTAACTCAGACTTAGACCCATTTGTTTTATTTTTTCAGTCTTTACTTCTTTAATTTATATTTTCCTATATTATTTAGTTTAATGGATAAAATATTTTGTAATCAGAATATTAGACCAATACTAAATAGATAAAATGTTTGTATTTTTATAAAATTTAAAAGTAAAAAAAGATATATTTGTATTCACATTAATATATTATTTAGTAGCATTGGGATCTAATGTATTTATCTAATTTACTATCTAGTATGTTTAAAATTTTTGTTTTTATTTTAAAATTTTTAATATTAATTATTAGTATGTTCAAAATATTTATGGTTACATATATTGAAAGCTTAAAAATAAAGTTATATTTGATTCTTAATTTTTTAGAATGGCTCTAAAAAAAAAAGTGACATTGGTTGGGATCATACAACCAATATTTTCGATAGCGCCCTTGTAATTTCTTTTGATTATTCTAAATGTGTTAAATAACATATTTTGGGGATATGATTTATGAATGATGATGTTTATATTTTTTTAGAATTTTTCATGATTTTTTCAATTTTTTTTGAGCTTTCTATCTAGCATTTTGAGCGTATCAGCCGATACCATGCCGCGACATCGCGACCGATGTGTTTCAGTGCCCTCCGAGTCGGTGACTGATACTGCGACTTTGAACCATGAAAGATATAGATGAACCAATAAATAGAGCAGTAAGTTCTGCAAACTTATCCCACAACCCTCATCATCCCACTTCTTTGCTGTTGTACTTGCATTCTAGTTTCCTTTGTTCTCTTTGGCTCTACATATCTCACATTCATGTATGGCATATTGAGTGCTACTTCTTCACTTGAAAGCTATCTGTTCTCTTTCTCTGTGGTTGGATTGAGATCTTAGACTCCTTCAATGTATTGCTTACATAATTCCAACAAAGAGGGTTCCTCTCTTGAAAATGAAGCTTTGTTGGGTATCAAGGTTTATGTGTGTGTGTGTGTGAGAGAGAGAGAGAGAGAGAGAGAGTTAAACCACCCTTGTACCCCTTATATATGGTCAATGTGTGAATCTTTGGACATTGTTTGTCTTCTTACATGGGGGACATTGTCAAAGAGGGTTAGTTAACAAAACCTTTTTTATAGTATTAAATTCCATTTTTTGGGTTAACTAGATTTGAATTCTGGAATTGTTTTGTTTTGTNTTACATGGGGGACATTGTCAAAGAGGGTTAGTTAACAAAACCTTTTTTATAGTATTAAATTCCATTTTTTGGGTTAACTAGATTTGAATTCTGGAATTGTTTTGTTTTGTTTATTGCAATTTTTTAACTTGTAACTCTATGAATTGGGACCAAATTTTTTTTTTTGTAGTCTGAGGACCAATTCTAATCCCGAATTATGGCATTATTCTTAATTAACACTTNATTTTTTTTTTTTGTAGTCTGAGGACCAATTCTAATCCCGAATTATGGCATTATTCTTAATTAACACTTCATGCTTTAATTATTTAATAACTCCCAACATTTGGTTAACAATAAGTACCTATGTCCTTTGTCGGTTTTCAAGTTTAAGGAAATGAGCTACTATTCAGTTGTTCTTCCAAAGATAGCTCTGCATTCTTTTCTAAGAACAAGTTTGATTATTGTGTAATTCTGACGGAATTATGCTTTTAAAGTTATAGTGGCAGTAGCAGTACACAATATGGATTTTACTTTGTTCATTTCACATGTACACCCACAAATGTACAGATACCACTTTTCCCTTCTATATATACATAATATACCTGCACTGAGCACGTGTAGAGGGCCAAATTGAGACTGATAGAAGTCCCCAATATACACATGCATACATATCACTTTGTCTTTTTGGGACCTAACCTACCCAACACAGCTTTTGATCATTAGTGCTTTTCTGGAACCCTTTTTTTTAAGAAAAAGTGCTCTTGCTCGTTACTATTTAATGATTTTCTTGTAAAGAAATTGAAACCTTAGTTTGTGTTTTTTTCAGTAGCTTCATTCTTATTTGTGCTCCCAGTTTAGATATGTTCTGTTTTTTTCTGTTTTTCAAGAGTAAAGGGAAATGTAGAGCATTCGTTTATTGCACTCATTACTGTTTCTCCACAAAAAAGGAAGATTAACTGTGCAAAAGAAAACAAGCTTTCACGTTAAGCCTAGATCAAACAGTAACTTCCAAACCTTCTAGATCTTGAGCATGAGCGATGCAGAGTTATCTGCGTTGTTTGCAATGTACATAGTGGTTTTTGGCTGCTAATGCTTCCGATGACACAAAGTCATTCGTCTTATTTAATTTAAAGTATCTTGACATCGTTTGATTTTACATATGCCATGTACATTTTGAAACTAGTTAGGAGCCTATATGATTGGGTGAGCAGCTCCTAGAGCCATTGCTTTGGCTCACATGATGCCATGCTATTGCTGTTTTCCTACTCTATCAATTTGGACCCTTATTTGCTGTTACTATTTCATTAAAAATCAGTGCAGAAGTTTTCTCATATGTTTCATTGTGTATTAGTTTCTTTTTCTTCTATATTTTTTTTTATCTGTTTTTGTTCTTTGCCTTTAATGAGTGATTTGGTGTTAGCTAGCGACATTTATTTTTGTTCATTTAATGCTAAATCTTGAGTTTGCTGATGTCTTAATGTGTCACCATAGGTTGGCTGTTTATGTTCATGGGAAGATATAATCAGCAAAGCTAGACATTTTTTTTTTGTATATNTTTTTGTTCATTTAATGCTAAATCTTGAGTTTGCTGATGTCTTAATGTGTCACCATAGGTTGGCTGTTTATGTTCATGGGAAGATATAATCAGCAAAGCTAGAGATTGACTATGTATTCTAAGCGATCTGGTCAAGGGGATGGGCCTGTTTCTAGGCCCGTACGCACGAGTGATAGGCTCCGGAGAAGGCCAAAGCTCTATGGTCGCCCATACTTGTATTATGCTCCAACCATTATACGCCCCAAGAGAAGCAAGACTAAAACAAGGACAGCAGCTTCTCAGATTGCAAAGATGTTGCGTCCTGGTAATCGGCCTGTGCTGACTTCAAATGCAGATGTACGTGATTCTGTTCTGTTTTTATTTGCTTTCCATGCCACATTTAGTGTGGGTAGATCAGTTTAAGTGATTTTTAGTTTTTGTTAGTTGCTTAGTATTCTTTTGCCAATGAAGGCATCAAAGATTTTTTTACTACAAATTTACCTCCTTGATTCTTTAATAGTTATAGACCTAATCATTCAATAGTATTGAATTTATATTCTTACTTCTGTGGGCAACAATTGTTTAATTGACATTAAAAAACAAGAGAAGCTACTTCCCAGGGGGGAAAAAAAGAGAGAAATCATAGAAAAGCATGGTAGATTTGCTAATTCTTTTTTTTTTTTTTCCCTGAAATATCATCTTGCTAGGACTAGGAGTATGACCACAATTTAGTGATCTAATTGGGTACAGAGTATGATCATGTGCTATCCCTCCTGTAATGTATGCCTGATTTCACATGAACAAATCTTTCTAGTTTATGGTTTTTGCAGCTGTAACCTGATCTTATACAGTTTCTGAAATAATTTAGCTTTTTTGAATTTTTATTCATTATTTTCTTTATTATCTGTTTGCTCTTACTTTGATTGCATGCGAGTGGGCTTGTTCAGTTATGGGTGATGCCCATATTAATGGGGGTTCTCCTTTTTGCATTTCAAGTTTTGGATGATGCCGTTTGCAATAAAATTAAGCAGATTGAAAGTCCTAACCATCCTTTTTGTGTTGCACTTGAACAACTTTTTAGTTATATTTTTTAAAAGTTTTTTGTAGATACGAGTTTCTAGATTTATTTGTTAGATAAAGCATTCAAATGTAGATTCTGTGATGTTTATTATTTTAAAAAACCATGAAAGAATGACAAGAGAATATAAAGGAAAAAATCTATGATTTGTAAATAATTGATAAATCGCGGCGCAGTATTAGATGATATGACCTCAAAAAAAATGTTGAACGTGACGAGAGATTCAGGTCATATCACGGCGTCGCGGAACTATATCGGTTGATTCAGTGATGATAAATTGGCAAATCAGATACAACTCGGATGACTCCGCCGAGTCGTTTGAAACTCGGGATTTATATGTATCGTGTAACAGTATTATTTTGGAAGGTGTCGAGTCGGGTATGACTCGGCCGAGTCATATCGGTATCTGCCAATAGTTTGACGACTGGAAATAAGTTTTTGTTTCCACAAGTTAAGTTAATTTCTATTTTCAAAACTCTGTTTAGATTCCTAAAAATCTATTTTTCCCTGATACTTTTTATTTACATGGTGTTTTCTTTAACAAAGTAAGAACTTCTATGATAGGCTTGATTAATCATTTTTCTTCATATGTCAAACTTATATCTATACTAGCACTTTTTTGAACTGCTTCATGAGTGGCTTTGGTGCAGTCCATACAGTCTAAACTTGGCATGTAAATTAAGTTCTTTGTCGTGCTTGGAATATAAGCAACATGAGAAAGCCCATTGCTTAGTTCAGTCCATGCTTGGGGAAGGTGTGTTGTCAAATGTTAACTCCCGTTAACTGTCATCTCACCCTGCAAACCCTCATATCCTGTATTTAGACATTGCACTATATAATATATATTCCCAAAGTACAGCGTAATAGGACTATTTTTTACATGACTATGAAGCAAAAGAAAATTTCTAGCCAGATTGTACCTTCGCAAAAGATATGTGATCAATACTGTTGATTAGGAATACCATAAAACGGTGGCAGCTTAGAGTGAGAGAAAGGAAGAAAGACTGCACTAGAAAATACACAAAATTCTCCTAAAATGGTTGGAACTTGGCAATGGCCTTCTCAATGTGTATTTGCTGCCTGTGAAAGAAAAAGAAAGTGACTTGCAAACAGAAATGTGAACTGTGGAAGACAATGAGTTGAAATGAAGGACAGAGAGCTAATTAACGTAATAGTTAATTTATATGTTGAAGGAAGATTAAAGGTTAACAAGGATATGATTGGCCTTAATATTAAAAGAATATGAAAGAATTGTTTGAAAATATGCAAAAAGCAGCCCAACAGTCCATAATTACCTATTATTTTAATGTTGTTATTATGACCAAAAAAGATAGTAAGGCTATTATAGTGGGTCATTTTTTTTTCACTTTCATTGATCACGGCAAATTCTGATTATTATTTGATTTTGTTTTTTCCACGTTAGATATTACCAGATGTTGCCTTTATTGATAAAGTTAATGAGACCAATGCATTGACCAACCTCTATGCAGTTGCCTCATCATTGTGAGCCCTGATAATTTGTCTGTCCTGGTTTTGTGCAGTCAGTTGCAACCAACCTTCGGCGTTCTACTAGAAAGAGGAGGATTTCTGTAAATCTCGATGCGTACACAGATAGTTCTGGAACAGAGGACACTGACCTAATGGTGAGGTTTTATACTCTCCCAAGTATCCATATTTATAGAGGTCAGTTATTAGTGTGGATTCAATGAGTATCAAAGCGTCAGCATGGTCAGAATATTGTATAAAGATGATTGTACGGTGATCTGAAGTTGTGTGTGAATTTGTTTCAGAGACCCAAGTATCGAAGCTCTAGGAATCAGATAGAAAATAGCGCAAGTCAAGATGAGTTATTGCCTCGTCGTGAAGGACTGCGACCTCGTCGTTCAAAAGCAGCTGCAAGAGAGCAGTTAAATCTAGAATCTGACAATGAACAAGGCACTTCTGAGGAGAATGCTAGTCAGGATGAGCACGAAAATGGGAACAATGTTGAGGATAATGTTGCCGAGGGTGAGGATGAGGGTGGTGAGGGTGATGGTGAGGATGAAGGGGAGGCCGAAGATGAAGGAGAGGAAGATGGTGATGATGAAGAGGGTGAAGACGAACAGGAAGGTAGAAGGCGATATGATCTCCGTAATCGTGCAGATGTTCGGAGGCTTTCTCTCGACGAGGGTAAGCAAAGACCAAGATCTCCTCGAAGAGTACTGCACCAAGGCATGGGGACGAAGGTTGGCAGGGATGTAAGAAGAGGTGGATCCCGAGTTCATAAACGTCATCGCCTAGCGCGAGTTGAAGATTCTGATGACTCCCTTCTGGTGGATGAGCTGGATGAAGGCCCTCCCATTCCTTGGGGAAGAGGTGGGAGCAGATCTGGACCACCTTGGCTTTTGGGGGGACTAGACATGCATGGCACAGCAGCATGGGGGTTGAATGTTGCTGCTTCTGGTTGGGGTCCTCATAGTGACACATTTGCTAATTTGACTTCTGGGATTCAAACTGCTGGGCCAAGTTCCAAGGGAGGGGCTGATATTCAACCTCTACAAGTTGATGAGAGTGTAAGTTTTAATGACATAGGTGGGCTTTCTGAATATATTGATGCTTTGAAAGAAATGGTTTTCTTTCCATTACTGTATCCGGATTTCTTTGCGAGTTATCACATCACCCCTCCAAGAGGGGTCTTGTTATGTGGTCCCCCCGGCACCGGGAAAACTCTGATTGCAAGAGCATTAGCTTGTGCTGCTTCCAAGGCCGGGCAGAAGGTCAGTTTTTATATGCGAAAGGGTGCTGATGTGCTTAGCAAATGGGTTGGGGAGGCTGAAAGACAGTTGAAACTACTATTTGAAGAAGCCCAGAGGAATCAGCCTTCCATTATCTTCTTTGATGAGATAGATGGACTTGCTCCTGTTAGGTCTAGCAAACAAGAGCAGATTCACAATTCCATTGTTTCAACTTTGCTTGCCTTGATGGATGGTCTTGATTCTCGGGGGCAAGTTGTTTTGATTGGTGCTACCAACAGGATTGATGCCATTGATGGAGCCTTGCGGCGCCCAGGTAGATTTGATCGTGAATTCAATTTTCCTTTGCCTGGCTTTGAGGCACGTGCCGAAATATTAGACATCCACACTCGGAAATGGAAGCAGCCTCCTTCGAAGGAGCTAAAATTAGAGCTTGCAGCCAGTTGCGTGGGATATTGTGGAGCTGATTTAAAGGCTCTGTGTACTGAAGCTGCAATTCGTGCTTTTCGTGAAAAATATCCTCAAGTATACACCAGTAACGACAAATTCGTTATAGATGTTGACTCAGTAAAGGTGGAAAAATATCACTTTACAGAAGCCATGTTAACGATCACTCCTGCTGCTCACAGAGGCTCGATTGTTCAGTCTCGACCATTGTCACCAGTTGTTGCTCCATGTCTGCAAAGGCATCTTCAGAAAGCCATGAGTATTATATCGGATATTTTCCCTGCTCTTGCAGTTTCATCAGAACTGACCAAGCTTTCCATGCTCTCCAATGGTTCTGCTATTCCTCTTGTGTACAGGCCTCGACTTCTCCTATATGGTGGCGAAGGTGTTGGGCTGGTAACTATCCCGAAACTCCTGATAGATATCAAATGATTGTATTGGGAACTGCAAACTAAGTGTTCTTACTGGTTTCATTTTCCAGGATCATCTTGGGCCTGCAATTTTACATGAATTGGAGAAATTTCCTGTTCATTCTCTTGGGCTTCCCTCTCTTCTTTCTGATCCTAGTGCCAAGACACCTGAGGAGGCATTGGTCCATTTATTTAGCGAAGCAAGGAGAACCACACCTTCGATATTGTATTTGCCTCAATTCCATCTTTGGTGGGAGAATGTGAGTTCGTGTATAAATTTGTTGATTTATTTGCAGCTTATGCTCATCTCAAGCAATTAGTGATGTTTGCTCAAACTCATAATGTTTATGGTCAATCTACCTTAGAAGAGATTATAGAATCTTTTTATTCTTGTCTTTTTTGATATTAATCTTTTCTGTTTCAGGCACATGAGCAACTTAGGGCTGTTTTGGTGACACTATTAGAAGAATTGCCATCCGACTTTCCCATATTGTTACTTGGAATGTCCTTGGTTCCACTTGTTGAGCTAGATGACAATCCTTTGTCAATATTTCCTGACCGCAATATGTATGTGTTTACCAAATTTGATATGCATCTCAGGGTTGTTGTCTGTAATCTTTTGGATATTTTGTGTTCCCTATGCTTGCTTTGGCTGCCATTTCCACCTCTGATATCTCCATGCGTTTCCAAATATTTACTTATATTCTTGTTTGTTATTAAGTTGGTAGGGGCTTTTGTTCTTTGATGTGTTGGTAATTATGGTTCATTCCTCGGATTAGTTGATAGCACCTTAAAATGTTAACCATTTTGGATTTTTTAAATGATGTTTTAGGATTTACCCTGCACTAATGAGAACTTTAAATTGTTAGGATCACATGTTCTTGTGCAGATCTAATGAGGGATCATGGAACGATATTGCTTGGAGTTTCTCTTTCTGGGACACGTATGACATACTACTTTCATGAGTCTTTGTGATCTTCTTCTTTTAAGGGGTTTTATTGATCAAGCAACCATAAGAATTAGGAAGAGAGTATATAGAGCTGATATTTTACGCTGCCGGGGTCACCTTAAGATTAGACCCTCTTTTTTTTTTTTTCGCCATACATATTGCTATAAGAATGAAAAATGACACGAGGGCTTATCATCATCAATAACTGGGGAGAATCACCTGCCCAACCCTAAATATAAGTATGAGATTGGCATGATGGCTGCTGATTCTGCATATTCTACTGTTAAACGAATGGTGGAGATTGCATCCTCTTCTGTAACTCTAAGGTGTAATTGCCTCAGTGAATTGCAATTAAATTCTGGAATTACGTTGCAATTCCAGCTCTGTTAGAATGGAAGTTGAATTAGAATTATAATATTGTTGATTGGATAGCATATGATCATAAAGTATATAATTGAAATTATGCAATCATTGTTAGCTGAACTATTTGGATGACTAAAATTGCAATGTTGTGGTTCTTGCCCATCTCACCAATAAAATAAATTTGCGATGACCAGAATGCTTTTTCACAGCAGTTTGAAACAATAAAAGACATGGGCATGATGAAAGTAGTAATAAGAAATAAATTTGCCAAAATTTGGGAATCAAAGCAATTGTAAACTAAATTAACAGAATAGGTTTATGAATTTTAAAAATTAAACCAAAAAATTAAAAGGGCAAGAAAAGTAAGATAAGAATAAAGTGAAGAAAATTAATATTAATAATTTATCAGCTCTTGCTCAAAGCAACGAAGGACTAAAAGAACTTGAAAATGGTGAGATATTAATATAACTTGGAAAAGAGGATCATGTACCAAAAGAAAAGAAATCAATCATAATCAAATTAAGAAAAGAAAATATTTAAATATTCATAAATTGGATGCAAAAAGGAAATTTGAAGAAAAATCTTTAATTTCTTGAAGAGAATCTAGAGGAGCCAAAACCCCAGAAAATTAAGATCACAGGTGCATGTAAATGCAAACCCTATAAGATGAGAAAACTCTAACAAGGTGTAAAAGAGGAGGAATCAACAGGTTTGAGATAAATGTTGTGCTCTTGTGGAAATTGAAAAGTAAAGATTGCGTCTCCAAATTTCAGGGCTTGAAATTGATGTTGGAGTTTTAGGGGTTTTACATCTTTCACGTTGCAGTTTTGAATTTTGATTAAAAATCCAAATGAACCTTTCTAATTTTGGCTGCCACACCATGTGCAATCGGTGCCCAACGGAATATTCTAGAATTTTGGAATTTTCCTTGAATTCATTGACAAATACCTGTCTTTTGGGAATAATTTCACTTGTTTTATGAGAAACTCAAAATCAAAATTCAGAAATTGGTAGTGACTTGATAAATAGACTCAAGGTTGGTTTATATACTTGGGGCTACTCCATCAATTGCCAATTGGTTTTAAGTTGGATATTCTAATATGGTATCAATGCTTGGTCTTGGTAGTTGCTGGGCTAAGTCTCTTCTCAATTGAATTTCTTGGTCTATTTATATATTTGTTTTGGTTTAGCTACAGTCTGCTTGTCTGTCTGTTTTAGTTTGGTGTGTTAACTTACGCTTGAGTTTGGATTGCATGTGAGGGAGGCTGTGAAGAGAGCTACCCCACATTGAAAAATTAAGTAGACCTAAGTTTGATTTATGTACTTAATACGCAACTCCAACCATTGCCAACTGGTCCCAGGTTTGATGCTCTAACATAATCGAAACCAAATCTATTCCCCAATGTTCAACATCCACATAATTGTACAGAATTTTGTTTGGCTGGTCGAATAATATCATGTATATTACAGTGTTGAATATTGTTTAGTTAGGAGTCTTGGACCTCTTGACCTTCAAATCCCAGATGTTTTGAGGTGGCTGCATATGTATCTAACAATAGTTTAATAGTTTTGTTTAAAATTTAGTTCAAATAACCTTAACATTGTGGGTTCAAACCTTAGGATAACCAATTTCTGCAATACAAATAATGCTCAAAGTCAGGTGTGTACCCAATCTACCCCTCCCAGACCTTCATTAATGGGGACTAAATTGAGTGTTATTTTTGGAATTGTATGGCATTTTGATGTTATTGATTGGATATAATTTTTGTGACCATGACTTTTCGATAGCATTTCTATTTAAAACATGTCTCATTTTAAGGTCCCATTGGGAGTGGCATGTGGTAAAAAAAGCTGATGAGAGAGTTTTTGCGGGAGAGGAGTGGGGAGGGAAAAAAGGATTATGTGGTGAAATGCAAAATTGTTTCTTTTTCAAGGAACAAATGAGGTCTTATTTAGATTCATTGTTGCTAGAAGCAGTGGTGGACAGGGAAAGTTCTAAGTGGAGGGAGAGGGCAAATAGAAAACCATTGATTGGCATTATCAAAACTATGGGGAACAGATTAAAAAATTACTTAAAATGAATGGCAAAAATTTGAATTTGAGGCCGAGGGGGGACATCATCCCCAAGGCCATGGTGGTGTTCCATCCTTGGCTAGAAACACTGCCTTGATGGGGAAGTGGTTATTGAGATTCCCTAATGAACACGATTCCTTATAGCATGCTTTGATTAAAAGTAAATATGAGACTCAAGATAATGGATGAGATTCTTCTATGGTGGATCGGGGTTTTGCTTGAAGCCCATGTAAATATGATTACTGATATTTTTTTTCTGTATAGAACATATGTTGTCGTAAATGGGAAAAAGTCCTTTTGGCAAGGTGTGGAGGGATGATTGTCCTTTTTGTATTCCTTGATTGTATTGTTTGGTTTATGTTGGAAGGCTCATCAGTTGAGTCTCACCCATTTGCTTCCTCTTTTAGTATTCGGTTCAGTATGTTTTGTTTTCACTTTTGTGTGTTGGTCTTTCATGGGCAAGTTAGGATTGCATGTGATGGGAAGTGTTGTAGACATCAGTAGTATAAGACATCTAAAATTAGTATACGAGCTTTATGAACTTCCACTCGTTGCCCGTTGGCATAGAGTTGGATGCAAGGACTTCCCCATGCTTTTTGACTTGTTTTTTCATGAAGTATGAAAAATTATAAGGGTCAGTTGCTCTATTAAGTGGCATGATGGGGTCGAATCACTTTTATCATCTTTCATTTTTAATTCTTATGAGCTAAGACGGGCTGTAGTGCTCAAGATTGGCTTGTTCATATACTGAGCTGTAGACAAAAGCTCAAGCTTAGCATTTCAAGCCTATAATAGGAGCCTTAATGAGCTTTAAATAAGCGAAGCTCGGGCTGTTAGGCTTGTTTTGCATCCCTATGGAAGAGTGTTACCATTGCTATTAGTTTAATTCTTTGGGCCATTAAGCAAGCATTTGAAATGTTATCCTATTTGTTTAAGACTAATACGATGTTTAGTTCTTGTAAGCAACCATGTTTTTTACACATTGTACTACCATCATTTGAGTTTTACTCTTATTGCTATTAGCTTCAATTCTTTGGACCATTGATTGCTTGAAATAAAGAAGGGACGAAACATCTCTCTTTTTTTGGGGGGCAAGAGAGAGGGAAGAAGTTGTAGCACCACCTCACGAACTTCTTAGTGGGGCAGTACTATAGGCATTTTTGAGTGTCTGGATGCACGAGTTTTGTTCATATTCTTGTGCATTTAAGAAAAAAATTGTCCAACCACTCACGTCTTTCTTGGCTATGCTCAGTCCAAGTATAGATGCTATGATGTAAAATCCAATAGAGTCGATGTAATCCTTGAATGTTCTCTTTAATGGGGTCACTTTGTATCCTACTATCCTATTTGTTTAAAATTTATACGACAATTAATTATGGCAAGCAACGGTGTTTGGAACTATCGTGATAGTGTGTCGATTGAAATAGTCTCTGAATGGTCTGAAATAGTCACCTAGAACTTGGTTTTATCATTTTGATTGTCTATGGGGAGATGTTGCGGTCAACACAATAAGGGAGAGTGTTACTTTGCTATTGTTCTACTTTGTTATTATGTAGTTTTCCAGTTGTGTTCTATTTTTCTAATATTGTAATTGTCTTCAATATTAATCTAATCACAGTTGTTAAATCACGTATCAGAAGGCTTATCGTTTTTAAAAAATAGTGTATTGTATCATATCATATCGTGTATGGTAAGATACACACAATTTTAAATAATTATTAATAATATATATCTATATATATATATATATATCTATATATATACCTTTGTAAAAAAGTCATAGAATCATAATAATATAACATTTCATTAATATTCCATCAACTATTCAATCCCAAAAAACCAATTTTTTTAAAAAAAAACAGGATCTTCACATATCGTATGTATCGTATCGTGTATTGTACAATATGGTGCAAAAACGATACAGAGATACGATTTATATCATTTTTTGGGTATATCGTGATGTATTGTACGATACATATCGCATATAGTATGATACTAATAACTATGAATCTAATATAACTAGGCGATGGTGTTGGCAAGACACAATATTAATTTATATTATCTTTCTTCCTCTCTTCTTCTTCTCTTTCTTTTCCTTAACCCTAACAAACAATTATTCAATTTTCAACTGGTACATTTGTATTACGAGTTGTACTACGATCATATGGGTTTAACTCTTATTGCTATTAGCTTTAGTTCTTTGGACCGTTGATCACTTGGAAGCATCATAAAGTGTTCGTATCATGTTCGTTTAACGCACATAAGAAAATTAATTCTGGTAGGCAACCATGTTTGGAACATACGTATTATGCGTTGTAAAATGGTCCTAAGGGTCTAACTCTTATATGATAGTTAACTATTGTCAGCAAACTGTGTTTGAAACATCTGTAGTATGTGTTGCACTATGATTCTGAGTATCTGCAAACTACTGTTACCTTGGTACCTATTAATGAGTATTGAAGTGGTTAAGTAATCTTTAGCCAAAATCATATGATTATCTCCTTGGAATTTGCAAATTTTGTCTTACATTTTCAAGTTTGGTTTCCCTAAGGTTTTATCTTCTTCCCAACTGTAATGGAAAAGGACTTTTTATATGCTAATAAAAGTATGACATGTTTTATTTTCTGTGTGACAGCTATCAAGTGGACAAACCATCAACAGATGACAGATCGATATTCTTTGACTGTCTGATAGAAGGTGCTTTGTCAATACAACCCGAGGTCATTTCAAAAAAGTCCCCAAAACTGGAGTCCCTACCTGAACTCCGCAAGGCACCAAAAGTAGCTACCGGTCCGAAGGCATCTGAATTAAAAGCCAAGGCTGAAGCTCAGGGGCATGCCCTTCGTAGATTGCGCATGTGCCTGCGTGATGTTTGCAACCGGTGAGATAGATCTTACTTAAATTTAGGCCATTCCAATTTTTTTTTCTGAAAAGAGGTGCTTACTGCTTGCTTATTTCTTTGGTTCAATGTTGCACATGCACCGGTAGTAGAATTATCCACGCGATGCAGTTTGTGAGTGTTGTGAATAATGATGCCTAAATCAACTGCGAAAGGAAAATAATTGATTTTTTTTTTTTTAAGGATTTGCAAATTATAAGTAGAAAGATACGTTAGGAAACAAATATGGCACTATTATTAAGGATTTGCAAATTATAAGTAGAAAGATACGTTAGGAAACAAATATGGCACTATTATTCCTCTAGAAGGGGTCAAGGGTTATTCATCTATAGGTTTGGTGATCTTGGTTTTCAATACCATCACTCTTGTAAATGCAAAAGAGTGATGGCACTGAAATATCACATTCTTGCACAGATTTGTCTGCTTGGTTAATTTCTCTTCCTTCCAATTTTAGTGCAATTTACAGGGGAACCTCTTGTAATGGTTGACTGGTTTCTTGTAATTTTTAGTCTGGATGGTAGGGGAGTTGGTTTTCGTGTTCTGATTTTTTTATTTTAATTTCTGAGCAAAGTTTTGGCAAGGTTCTGACTTGGTTTCATGCTTTACAAACCTTCATCTCGTAATTTAGTGACTTTTGCATGAACAATAAAAAAATGAGATATTGTCCACAATACCTCAACTAGATAAACCAAGACTTTCATGATATGTTTGATTTATTTATGGTTTATTTATGTATTAGAGTTGTAACACATACTCTCACATTGAAGTTAATGGCATGAGAACCTTTATAGAAAGTGATTCTTTAAACCATTTAGTATGCCATTTCGTATGATAAACCTTCAAAACCTTAATGCACAGTACAAACTTGAGAAAATTTCCGAATGGTCTTTCAGTTGTCTTCTGGATTTGTTAGAAGCATAAGGGCATTTTTTATGGTGAGCTTTGCTTTCAGATTCATGTAGGTTCTTATAGCAACAAAATTTATATTACTGTAATGTCTCAGGGGAGAAGATGAAGCACAACGCTCCTAGATGCCTAGCTCAGACCCAGAGCTTCTTTAATGACTTTTGTTAATCCACCAACTCTTCTTAAAATTTGAACCCTTAAAAGGGGTGTAACTTAAGTATTTATATACTTCAACATGCCGTCTCGCATGCAGGCTAGATTTGGGCCAAGTATGGGTGGCGATAAATGTAAAGGACGAGTATACCCATACATGGGTACATTTTTTACAACATATATAAAATAAATGTTAATACTAATACTCTCAACATGAAGTCAGATTAATCCTGTCTCATGTTCTTTCTCTGTGGTGCAGGATTTTGTATGACAAACGTTTTAGCGTCTTTCATTATCCAGTCATGGATGAGGATGCACCAAACTATCGTGCAATCATCCAGAACCCAATGGACATTGCAACTCTGCTGCAGCGAGTTGACTGTGGCAAGTATATCACATGTAAAGCATTTCTGGAAGACTTTGATCTCATTTTGATCAATGCGAAGGTGTGTGCTCAGTATTGTGATTCTTGGATTTAACAGGAGTTTAAGGGTGTTTGTATGCATGTGTTTCTGAAACTCTCATGTGGTCTATTGATTCAATGTTATAGCAAAATTGATAAATAGGGACTCTTTAGCTTCGGGGTTTGAAACTGGTTTTTTCTCATGAAAATAAGAAAATTGGAAACGGCTTGAAAAGACTGGTCTTAGGGGACTGCACTGATAGCTTTCAAAAGTACGTAGAAAACACCTACAAAAAGGTAATAAGAATGAGGAGGTGAAGCTGGATAAAATTGCCTCCTTATATTAATGCACTTATGAGAGTTGGAAAACTTTTTACTTTCAAATCAGAAAAATATTGTATCAAAGGGCATCAGGTTGATTACGTGGACCCTTATGTTGGCAAACCATTGGTCTATGGGCTTGTTTTGTCAATGCTAACGAGATTAGGATACTTTCCTTTTGCATTATGTTCATGTTCGCTTATCAGACTAGCTTATATACATTACCTTATTCCGATAACGTGGTTCCCCACTTTCTACGTTCTGTGGTTTGAGCAGCATTGATTGCTTATTGCATGTCTTTTAAATATGTGATGATGCTGTTTAATGTTCTACAGCGGTATAATGGAGATGACTACAACGGAGCTAGGATTGTCAGCAGAGCTTGTGAGCTTCGTGATGCAGTATGCTAGTTTGTTTATTAGTCGGCTTTCTTTTTGAGGATTTGTTTTCTTGCATTAGAGCTGTGAAATTATTTTTGCTTCAGGCNGATTGTCAGCAGAGCTTGTGAGCTTCGTGATGCAGTATGCTAGTTTGTTTATTAGTCAGCTTTCTTTTTGAGGATTTGTTTTCTTGCATTAGAGCTGTGAAATTATTTTTGCTTCAGGCGCATGGAATGCTGTCCCAGATGGATCCTGCACTCGTTTCATTTTGTGAAAAGATTGCTGCTGAAGGGGGTCCAGTGTCCATTCCTGATGATTTAGGGGGCTCTGCTTTGCCACAAACTCCTGTTTGTCAGATGGCAACTGTGACTAGGGCAAGTGCCCGTCTCCGTAATGTCCAGCCGGAAGTTAATTTGGATCAAAGCTACGAAGCATTGAAAAGACCAAAGAAAAACATTGATGCTGCACATACAGGTAACCTTGCCTTTGAATTTGCGTCTTCTGCTGTCATTGGATTTCTCTTCTTGTATAATTTTTGTACAGATAGTGATCGTCTGATACCTTCTTTTTGTGGTCCTCCTGTTTTGCTTGGCCCAATGATTTTAGTTGTATCTCTATGGTGGTTGCTGGCATGAAGGCTTATATGGTATTTTGGGGTAAATGCCAATTTGCTAAAGAGTGATATAGACTTCTACCTAGATTACAGGTCTCAATCAACACTGGGTAATGTCTTTTGGCTTTCATGTGAACTTTTCATACCACTGGGGATGCTTGACACCACTTCGTCAACTGGCATTACCTGCGCTTTCGTGTCCTTGCGCTTTAGTTCATGATCACTTTGGAAGTTATCTGTGGTGATCTTTTACCCCTGTCATGGCTGACAGCGTACATCACTTTCTCCCCACTAATTGGCCAGACAATAGGACAAGTGTCGCGCAATGTCCATATTTGATTATCAATTTAGTTCATGTCCCAATTTGGAAGGTATCTCTGGTGATCTTTTACCCATGTCGTGGTTGACCGGGTACATCAATTTCTCCGCACTAATTAGCCAGAGAATGGATCCAGATCCCCTCCAATGCTTTTCTGCTCCATCTTGGATCATACATATTAATGAGGAGGGGCTCACTTATCTACAATGGTCCCACTTGAATTCATGGTAGGTGATCCACCAAGAAGGAAAATGAAGAGAAAATAAATTGGAGGGGATCTAATTCCCTAGAAAAATGCACAGACCATAGACTATATGTACCATATTTTATGTTGAGGCAATTGTCTGTCAATTTGCTGAAGTGATACAGAACTCTACCTAGATTACAGATCTGAATCAACACTGGGTAATATCCTTTAGGTTTTCATGTTAGATGTGGTTTCAGTTATTTTTCAATTTTGTTTGTTTTATGAATTTGCTCTTGATCTCAGCTCTTTCAAGTCCAGAAACCGAAAAATGTACAATACAATATTCAAAGTACAAAATAGAGGGCAATACCAAAAAGGAAGGCCCCTAAGAAGCAAGTCTGATAGGAACATAAAGCCTTACCCATTCGAAACCTCAGATGGTTATTGCAGCTTGATGGCTTTTCTTTATTAGCAGTATAACCATCGTAGTTGTGTCGACAATTGTTGCTGTTTTCATGTAGCAACATATATTAGGTTGTTTTATCTGAGCAAAAGGTCCCCGGATCTGATCTTGTAGATATGTGTAAGCTTGAAATTTGGTCCGCTTCAGTTTTTTTTCCCCCTAAAAGTGGTTTGAGTTGTACATGTGCAGCAAAAGCAAAACTTTCTGTCGTACCTTAAAAATGTGGGTTATTAGAAACAAACGGGCCTGAATAAAGTGTCCGTCCAAGAATGACTGGATTCCAGAGGCTTTTCATTGCGAGTCAGAATTCTAGCAGAGATCCAAAACTTGTTTCAAGCAAACAATATTCTGAGAACCTATACACCACTATGAAAATGTTAGAGCTTGGAATCAGTTTCTTATAATAGTTGAAACACTGTCCATAAGATGTTTGTCCCGTCACGGCCCTCATTTCAGCATAGAATTATAAAATATCATCAGATCTTTTAAAAGCGAAGGTGATACCCAGAATAAAATTAAGAATTTTAACACCGCCACTCCTCCTGGTTTTACTTTAGGTAGCAGTGTCAAGATGAACTACAGTTAGGCTTAACTAGCTTATTCCCAAGCCAACATAAAGCCTTAACAAAATTTTCCTTTGCACTTGTACTCTTGTAATTGAAATAACATCGACACACATTGTCACTATTGTGTCTTGCCTAACTGCTACAATGTTATGAGTTAGTAGAGTATAGACGAAAAGTCCATTACTTGCTGTTGGTTATGGTTAATCTACGGTGTTTGGATTGGTAGGTTGAATACAATTCTAGACTTTGGCAGTTTTTCCTCAAAATAGTTGTCTTTTGATTTGAAGTTGCATTCTCAGGCTTGGTAGCCAGGTGAGGATATAGTAGGGGAGCTGAAAATTTCCCAAGTCAACTGTCTCCCTATATGTTTACCTGATTTGTCCACTCTTGCGAAAGATGCTTAGAGATTTCTCTCTTTGGACGTGTAACATGCTATTTTGATATTATGATAGAGTTTCATCTCGATACATGGATTTTTTCGAGTCCCTCCTACATATTCACTTATCACCAGAATAGATAGATGCTTGATGTGCACGGAAATAATTCTGGGGGTGTGTTTTTTCCTTCTTTATTGTTTGGTAGTAAGAGAGAATAGCTGTAATCATTAAATAGTTGCTTGGGTATGGCATAGCACGTAGATGTAGTGGTCGTCAATCTCCTGTGTCTGATAATTGGACCGTCCTGGTGACAGCTTCAACAGCAGAAGATGGATCACAACCTCAAGAAATGTTGCCATTAAATTCATCTGAAGAACCTGAAGCAGAAAATACAGATCAGCAAAAACCTGAAAGCTCGCTGACTGATTGTGTTCAGCTTGGAACTTCTGATGAAACGAGTGGGTGCGGATCCCAAGATGTTACTATGTCAACTGGGGAGATTTCTAGCAATGTTGAGTTTATCAAGCAGCTTTTTGTAGAGCGTACTAAAGACTATGGCATTTCACAGCTTGAAAGGCTTTACACTCGTGTTATGAAGGGTGTCCTTGAAACAAGTAGTAGTGAAATTGGTGATCTGAAACCTTCAATATTGAGATTTTTGCTAAAGTTTGCAGAGGACGAAGCAAAGTTTTGTATCTGACACTTTTANTAGTAGTGAAATTGGTGATCTGAAACCTTCAATATTGAGATTTTTGCTAAAGTTTGCTGAGGACGAAGCAAAGTTTTGTATCTGACTTTTTTTTTTCCTGTTCGAAATAAATTATTTTATTTTATTTTATTTACTAGTTCTCATTTGAATTTATTCAACCATGTATAGAGTCCAGATGGTTTTTTTTATAGTGATGTGATCTCTCTCTCTCTCTCTCTCTCTTGATTGGCTGTCTTATTTGTCACCATTAATATTGTTACGACACCGTGTTTTGCGGAACATTTTAATTGTATGCACTGTGTTTGGGTGTGGAGCAAATATGTGTACTTCAGGGTGGCTGAATGGCTTGACTAGCTCAGGAGGATCCACATCTAGCAGCATTTGAGCCCTATTCTTTTCGATGTCATGAAAGTTTGCAGTTTCCTAGCGGCACATTGTAAGCGCCNTTAATTGTATGCACTGTGTTTGGGTGTGGAGCAAATATGTGTACTTCAGGGTGGCTGATTGGCTTGACTAGCTCAGGAGGATCCACATCTAGCCGAATTTGAGCCCTATTCTTTTCGATGTCATGAAAGTTTGCAGTTTCCTAGCGGCACATTGTAAGCGCATTGAGCTTGGATTAATGTTTTGTTTGGTAAGATAAAAAATTAGAAGGATGAAAAAATATAAGGATGAAGTTATAAGTATAGATAAAAATATCATGTTATGTTATGTAAGAAAGAAAAATAGGAAGGAAGATAAAGTGGAAGGATTATGGTGTATTTGAAATGTATTTTAAAAAACAGTATCTGAAAACAAATCCTGTCAAGAGTTTTAAGAAAATGTTCTTTGATATTTTTATATTGTAAAATTTGTTTGATTATATATTTTTGAAAATAATTTTAAGGAACAAAAAATATTATTACTTATATGGACAATGATTTACATAACTCTTGCCCCAATTTTTAACTTATCACTCTTGCTCCTCTTCTCTCTCCCCCTAACACATCAAACACACCCACATTCATCATCACACACTCACACAATACGCATGCATCGCACGATATATATGTGCATATGTGTGTGTATATACACACACACACATACACATACAAACACAGATCTGTGTTTAGAATTAAATATATACATAGATTTGTACATATATATAGATCTGTTGGGGAGAGAGATGAGTTGCAAGAGAGATGGTGTTTGCCGAGTTGTGGTGTTTCTCGTTGCCACAACTAAAGCTTCGACTCGACAGAAGTGCTTCTTCTAGTTGACAATGAGAGTTGTGTGTGTGTGTGAGAGAGAGAGAGAGAGATGACAAGAGGATAGNTTTGTACATATATATAGATCTGTTGGGGAGAGAGATGAGTTGCAAGAGAGATGGTGTCTACCGAGTTGTGGTGTTTCTCGTTGCCACAGCTAAAGCTTCGATTCGACAGAAGTGCTTCTTCTAGTTGACAATGAGAGTTGTGTGTGTGTGTGTGTGAGAGAGAGAGAGAGAGAGAGAGATGACAAGAGGATAGCGCTCGGCTTGGAGGAAAAAAAAAGGCCTTTTATATGAGGGGATTTAATGGATGGTGCTTTGGTCTTCGTGTTTTTACATTTTCTTAGAACAATGCCCGAAAAACAAGCCCAACTTGTTTTCAATTTTTTTCTCTTGGCTTTTCAATTTTTCCTAAAATTGGAGAATTAAAAAACAAACTAAACAACTTTCTCCTTGTTTTTAGAATTTTGAGAACAAAAAATNGATGGTGCTTTGGTCTTCGTGTTTTTACATTTTCTTAGAACAATGCCCGAAAAACAAACCCAACTTGTTTTCAATTTTTCCTAAAATTGGAGAACTAAAAAACAAAATAAACAACTTTCTCCTTGTTTTTAGAATTTTGAGAACAAAAAAATATTTTGTAAAACCAAACAAAATAGACCCATCATTTTTTTTTAAATTGGGAGAAAAAGTGAAAAGAAAATTAATTATTTGTATTGAAATGTGTGTTATTTATCTCTATATCCCTTAATATACGATTATGTCTTATTTATTTATAATATATAATGTACACATTAATTTCATACATACAATGATTAAATATACATNAATATTTTTGGTTTAAGTATAACATTTTAAATTTAAAGATTCTAAGTATTATATGCATACAAACTTTAAGGGGGTCTAGGTGTAATTTATTAACGGATATATTTACAGTAGGGGTCTAAGTGTTACACGTATATAAACTTCAGGGGGTCTGTGTGTAATATTTCAAATATTAAGGGGTCTGAGAAATTAAGTGACAAACCTCGGAGNAAAATTTAGTCCCTTATTTTCCATCTTTGCTACCAAATACAAAAAGGAAAAAATGATTCCTCCCTTGAAAAATATAAAGTGCATCACTTTTATTTTCCATCCTCCTACTTTTTTATGATTTTATCCACCCTACCAAACACAATATAAATGTGGGAGAATTACACTCACACCCCCTGAGATTTGTCACTTAATCACTTAGACCTCTAACATTTGAAATATTACACATAAACCCCACAAAGTTTGTACGCGTATAACATATAGACCTCTACTAGAAATATATCCGTTAATAAATTATATTTAGACCCCTTGAAGTTTGTAAACATATATTACTTAGACCCCTTAAGTTTAAAATGTTATACTTAAATAAAAAATACTTCAATCAAAGATAAAAGATTAAATATTTTAAATTTTACAATTAAAACTCATATTTATTGTATCATTTATTGAAATAAAATCAAAAATTTAAATTTAAATTTTTCTTAAAAAAATGTAATTAGTATACAATTATATTGTCTGTTAGAATTTAATTTGGTCATTTAAACGACTAAATTAAAATGTCAAACTACCCCAATTGAAGCTAAAAGATATTGCGTCTATTACAATTTGACCCCTTGTTTAATTTTTTAGTTTTATTTTAATAGTTAGTATAATTGTATACTAATTATGATTTTTTTAAAAAAATTAGTTTTTTATTTTAGATTTTATTTAAATAAATAACATAATAGAACATGAATTTTGGTTGTAAAATTCATGTTCTATTATGAATGATTTAGACCCATTGTTTAATTTTTTAGTTTTATTTCAATAGATAGTATAATTGTATACTAACTACGATTTTTTTAGAAAAAAATGAATTTTTATTTTTGATTTTATTTCCATAAATAATACAATAGAACATGAATATTGGTAGTAAAATTTAAAATATTTGATTTTTTATCTTTGATTGAAATATTTTTGGTTTAAGTATAACATTTTAAATTTAAAGATTCTAAGTATTATATGCATACAAACTTTAAGGGGGTCTAGGTGTAATTTATTAACGGATATATTTACAGTAGGGGTCTAAGTGTTACACGTATATAAACTTCAGGGGGTCTGTGTGTAATATTTCAAATATTAAGGGGTCTGAGAAATTAAGTGACAAACCTCGGAGGATTTGAATGCAATTCTCCCTATAAATGTAAGAAGTGTAAAAGAAACTGTCCGTAAGGGTTGAACATTATTTCTACCATTATAATTTTCCTTGTGTATCCATTTTTTAGCACTGCAAATATAGTGTGTTTCTGACCATCACGGTTAGTCTAGATAGCAGCTGGGGCCTCAGCTCCTAATTGGGAGGCAGGAGGTTTGAATCCCAACAGATGAATTGTGTACATGATGGAATGAGATTAGTTCTTATTATGTTTATGATGATGGTAACAAAATTCTTTATGGAGANGACCTCTAACATTTGAAATATTACACATAAACCCCACAAAGTTTGTACGCGTATAACATATAGACCTCTACTAGAAATATATCCGTTAATAAATTATATTTAGACCCCTTGAAGTTTGTAAACATATATTACTTAGACCCCTTAAGTTTAAAATGTTATACTTAAATAAAAAATACTTCAATCAAAGATAAAAGATTAAATATTTTAAATTTTACAATTAAAACTCATATTTATTGTATCATTTATTGAAATAAAATCAAAAATTTAAATTTAAATTTTTCTTAAAAAAATGTAATTAGTATACAATTATATTGTCTGTTAGAATTTAATTTGGTCATTTAAACGACTAAATTAAAATGTCAAACTACCCCAATTGAAGCTAAAAGATATTGCGTCTATTACAATTTGACCCCTTGTTTAATTTTTTAGTTTTATTTTAATAGATAGTATAATTGTATACTAATTATGATTTTTTTAAAAAAATTAGTTTTTTATTTTAGATTTTATTTAAATAAATAACATAATAGAACATGAATTTTGGTTGTAAAATTCATGTTCTATTATGAATGATTTAGACCCATTGTTTAATTTTTTAGTTTTATTTCAATAGATAGTATAATTGTATACTAACTACGATTTTTTTAGAAAAAAATGAATTTTTATTTTTGATTTTATTTCCATAAATAATACAATAGAACATGAATATTGGTAGTAAAATTTAAAATATTTGATTTTTTATCTTTGATTGAAATATTTTTGGTTTAAGTATAACATTTTAAATTTAAAGATTCTAAGTATTATATGCATACAAACTTTAAGGGGGTCTAGGTGTAATTTATTAACGGATATATTTACAGTAGGGGTCTAAGTGTTACACGTATATAAACTTCAGGAGGTCTGTGTGTAATATTTCAAATATTAGGGGGTCTGAGAAATTAAGTGCCAAACCTCGGAAGATTTGAATGCAATTCTCCCTATAAATGTAAGAAGTGTAAAAGAAACTGTCCGTAAGGGTTGAACATTATTTCTACCATTATAATTTTCCTTGTGTATCCATTTTTTAACACTGAATATGCAAATATAGTGTGTTTCTGACCATCACGGTTAGTCTAGATAGCAGCTGGGGCCTCAGCTCCTAATTGGGAGGCAGGAGGTTTGAATCCCAACAGATGAATTGTGTACATGATGGAATGAGATTAGTTCTTATTATGTTTATGATGATGGTAACAAAATTCTTTATGGAGAGAGAGAGAGAAATAATAATCTCATACATTGGATTACCTTTAAGATGAATTTTTATGTATTCTAATCCTCTATGAAGCAAGGGAGTCAACTGCCGCAAAGTTGATAGCAGCTAACTAAAAGTTGCATGGTCACTATACACATGTCTTTGCTTAGATTCTCATACATCTATTTCATATTGAGAGGTGAAATTGAACTTAAAAGATACAAATATGAAGTTACTATTGGTAATTGGTAGAGCAATTTTACTAAGATTTAGTATTAACTTTACTAGCACTAAGTTTTTTAGTTGGATCAGGATTATAGTTATTAACTAGTACCTATAAATATATTATAACTTTCAGATTCTAATACATAGTGAAAAAACACTTTCAATGAACATAGGTAAAAATTCTATTGTAACACAAATTTTATGTATTTGTTTTTGATTATTTTAGTTCTTGATTGTTTATTGCATTGCATGTTTGAATGATTGAATTAACGAAACTAGTTAAGAGTCTAATAAGTCAATATTAGAATGTTTAAGAAAAGCCATGATTCCCCCAAAAAGTTAAAAAAAAAGAAGAAAATCTCATTTGCTTCATTATGATTCAAAAAGAGTTCTATATTTGAGTATCTGATTTGGATATATTTTTTTTAATTTTTTAGTCCATATATAATTCAAAGTACTTGACATCAATTCTATGTTTCAAATTCTTACATAGCTAAAATATCAAGGAAATAGTCCATTCTACACACATACCATGATAGGGCCAAAAGAAAAGG